TTGGTTAGGTTTATTCCTAGGTATTTTATTCTTTTTGATGCAATTGTGAATGGAGTTGTTTTCCTGATTTCTCTTTCTATTGGTTCATTGTTAGTGTATAGGAAAGCCACAGATTTCTGTGTGTTAATTTTGTATCCTGCAACTTTGCTGTATTCCGATATCAGTTCTAGTAGGTTTGGAGTGGAGTCTTTAGGGTTTTTTATGTACAATATCATGTCATCTCCAATCGGCTTCATTTTAATGTCATCAAGGGGTTTGCAGAGAAAGCCCTTACTGGTTCTCACGATGGTATTTTCCCTCCCAGCCCTTCTCGTGGGGGCTCCCTGGGAAGGGCATGGGAACCTGCCACCAGCTCTGAGTAGCCCACAGTCTAAGCATTAAGGAGCCACGGGACTCATTGGACGTTGCACTGTGATATGTCTGTAGCTCTCCTTACAAAATGCAGCACGTTTGCAAGTTCATTTGTAAAGCAAAACTCTAGAAAGTGAGCCCGTGTGAATGGTCCCTGGGCTGCCGCCTGCCCTCTGCTCCTCACACATAACTGGGCCATGTGCCTGGGGTGCCCGTCTCTGTCCACTCTACCAACACCACTTCTTCTCCCATCAGGCACCACATTTTGCATTTGTCCTCTTCCCCATGGACCCTCCCCACCCCCCAAACCCCTTAGATGTAATCGCTGGGCCCTGAGAGGCAGACCACCCTGGCCTGGCACTGGCTCTTGGCTGAGAGCTGGGTCTCCATTGCCTCCCGAAGCCAGAGCCCTCCTGCCCTTCAGCCCTTTGTCCCCACACTCCTGCTGCCAGGGGGCTGACGTCCCTAACATCCGCCCCGTCTTCTCGCGGTAGAACACATCCTGTATAGCTCGCGGGATCCCAGAGTGCTCTCGCTGGGCCTGGCATCCGGGCAGAGCTCTCATCCCTGTGACGGATGCACCCGAGTGCTGTCATCTCCTCTCTCCTCCTCTCTGGTCTGGGTTTTGAAGGGCATCCCATACCACCTGCATCCTGCAGAGGCTTATGTGGCCACAGCACGTGAAGCACACAGCCCTCCATTATGCCAAGACTGGCTGAGCAGAGCTCATGGGGGGAAGGCAGGGTGGGGCTGGGGTGGGTCTGCTGCCACTTCACACTCTGTAAGGGGACACATGCCAGGCTCTGCAGTGAAGAATAGTTTCGTCACATAAATAAGACATGTGCAGGTGTGGGGTCCGCACAGACCCGACCCCAGCTTGTGCTCTGGACCCCTAAGCAGGGCACCCCACTTCTGAGTGTGCACTGCCCCCATCCCAGCCATGAGGACAGGAGTAGGACAGACTGGTGACTTCTCTTTCCGGTATCACTTTAAAGTTCTTTGATCCCAAATTCATGTTTGTGGCTTTTAAAGAGACACCGGTTTCTGATAGGAAAGGAGCGCAGCCCCAAGTTGGGTCTTGTACCTTCTCTGCTGCTGGACCCTATGCCAGTCCCCCATGTGAGGCCCCTTCTGGGGCGGCCCACAGCCGGTGCCCTCCTGGTCCTTCCACATTGCCCTGGGAGCCACGTCCCTCACTGGCAGGAGTTCTCAGCCTCAGGAGCAGCTTGCCTGGCTCAGCCCAGTGCTGTATCAGGTTAGTGCCAGGGTTCACGGTCAGACCCAGTTCCAGCCTGCTGGACCACGGTCTGCACCCAGCTCTGTCCACCTTTTCCTTGATGGGGACGATGCCCCTATAGCTCCACCCTGGGCCTGTTCCTGGCCTCCTGCGTGAACTTCTCCCAGCCTGTGTGATGATCTGATGCCCAGCATGCACCCCGACACCAGGGTCAGAGTGACAGCGGCACCCCTGGGCTCTGCCTGGAGGGAGAGGGCCTCTCAGAGCCCCAAGGCACGAGGCTGCCCTCGGGCCGTCAGGGCGCACCTGGGGACTGCACTTGGCCTCCAAATGCCGGTAGTCATCTTGGCCACTGCCTGCATCCTCAGGTGGCTGCTGGTTCACAGAAGGAGCTCTGAGAGGGGACAGTCTGAAGGAGCTTTGCACGGGAGTAACCCCGCTCCTGCCCGGACCCCATGGGAGGCTGGCAACGAGCAGACGCCCGGCATTTAGTGCTCCCTCGGTGATGTCACACAGGTCCCCTGTGCCCCAGGCTGCAGAGCTCCAACCCGAGGAGGTGCCCCCTGCACTGGGAACTTGTGGAGCAGGAGGCTCTGCTGTCCCCCACCATTCTATCCTTCTGTGCACCCACAGTGGGTGCCGCCCTGGAGGTCCCGGTCCCCTCCTCCACACTGTTCCTGTGTGCTGTCTGCTGACCCGTCGTCACCGACATCCCAGTAGGCAGACTCGGGCTGGTCTGCAGTTCTGGCTGCTCCTGCAGACTGCTGCCCTGGCCCTCTTGTGCTGGGATGACTGCCTTGGTGCTCCCCTAAAGAGCCGGGTCCAGGCAGTTTCTGCTTCTCTCTGCCTGATCAAACAAGGCCCTGGGGACCCTGACCTGAATCAAGGTGGCATCTGGTGACAGGTTGGATGTTCATGTGTCCCATCTGTGAAAGATGAGAAGACAGCTGGGAGAAAACTCCCCACACCCTGCCTGGGGCTCATGTAAACATTCAGGGGGCATCCAGTCAGCAACTGGGGAGACAGTCCAGAAAAGGTCTGACCCAGTGCCCTGCACTCTGCTTCTCTCCAGCCCCTTACACATTGCGTGTGGGAGCGAAAATACCGCATTTACATGAGCCTGATCACTAAAGGCAGTAGACTGAGACTCCTCAGGAACTGAGAAATGTTATGGAATTAGGAGCTTTTATGAAGCCAGTTGCTTCTATAATTTTATTGTTTCTAGCACATTTGAACAATCTACTTGAAAAAAAAAGTAATGTGGCTCTGTTTGGGGTACATAGATTTTGTTCCTTTTACGAAGCTCTTGGCTGGAGAGTTGGCAGAAATTCCAAAGCAATTTGATATGGCTGCAAAATGATAAACTTGTAATAATTAATATTATGTTAATTATTGAATTACAAACTAATGATTTATGGATAAATTCATTATGAATAATTCATATGTACATATTACAAATGAAAATTCATAAGTGAAATAATAAATTGATCACTCAGTGAATAAAAGCATGGGCTTAGCATCGTGGGAGCAGAAGCAAGTGGTGGGTGGCGCTGCCGTGGGGTTAGGTCTGTTCACACGGGCTCTGGGCCTGGATGAGTCACTGGACCTGCTGGACACTTGCTCCCTCATTCCAGAATGATGTGGCAGATTCCTTGCATGCTGGATAATGTATGCGAAGGTGTACTGTAAACGCTAAGGCATTATACACACACTGGTAATTAGTATAACCGATGAAATGCAATCCAGCATGTACACAAGGGCACATGCAAGGTGCATTTCTTGCACAGAACTTGGCTTTCTACACCATGGTGTGAAAAATCTTGCTTTTGGCCTCGGCTCTGTAGTCAGATATACTTGTGTTTGTACCGTACCAGGGGCAAGAGGAAGAAGTCCCGGGATAGCTGGAAAATGAATGTGATCTGCTTCTTGCAGGATACAAGACCCTCCTTAAAGGAATCTCTGGGAAATTCAACAGTGGGGAGCTTGTGGCCATCATGGGTCCATCCGGGGCTGGGAAGTCCACGCTCATGAACATTCTGGCTGGATACAGGTGAGCAGACCCTGCCAGGGAGAGGGAGCTTCTCGCCCAGTTGTCGGCTGAATTGTGAAGCCACTCCAGTCCCTCCTGTCATTTCGAAGGTTGTCTGCAGGCTCCGGTAAAGCCTGAGGGGTTCAGCACTGAGAGGTCTCTGCATCTCTGAAGGAAGCAGCCCAGGGAAGAGAAAGATGGAGAGAACCACAGATGGCACCTGCCCCCTGCCTCGTGATGCAGGGACGGATCGTCTGCCTCGGGGAGGGAGGCCCTGGGCAGGGCAGCCGGGTGGCAGCCTCAGTGAGCCAGCCTTGGCCAGGCCTTGCAGCACAGAAAGACTTGGGAAGGTCAGAGTCAGGGAGGGGGACGGCAGGAGGGCTCTGGGGCATGGGTGGATGAAGGTCAAAAGTAGGCCGAGCATTTTCAGAAGGGAAGGAGGGGGGCCACCTGGCTGGGTCCCAGAGCCTACACAGCTCTGGCTTGTTGCTGTTGGTTGTTTCAATGTTTGGAGACTGTGGTCCCCGACATCCCGCCCAGGGTTATTCCTGTGTGACTGATTAGGAAACTGGAGCCTTAGGTGTGTTTAAAGTGTCCTCCTTACACCTGCTCTCTGCAGCTCTCATGGCATCTGTTTGCTTGCATTAGCTACCAACTGCTGTTACTACAAATATTATTACTACCAGTAATAATTATTATTATCTCACTTACTGGGAGAAAAGACAAATACCTCCCATTTCCTTAGGACTCTAAGTTACTTTCTGATGCTAGAAATTAGGATTTTAAGAAACCTCGCTTGTGACAAATTCCTGCCTGTTGCATTCCCATCTGAAGGTAGAAGCCAACAGTTGGCGTCATCAGGAGGATGTGGGCTATGGAATGGTTTCTGTGGGCACAGCATGTCCCACATCCCAGCTCCTGCCCACCTGCATGGTACCTGGGCATCCTGGAGCTGTGGGTGGCAGCCTAGAGACAATGCGCTCCAAGCTGGCTCCCAGGGAAGCCAGAAAGGGAACCCCACAAGGCCCATGGTGACAGTGATTTAGGGCTGTGGGAGGTGGGAACCAGACCAATCTCACTGGCTGGGCATGCCCAAGCCCAACCGCAGGCCAGCTGTGTTTCTGTGCTCCAAGCATCGAGGAGGCGGGGCTGGAACCCCTGGACCCTTTGCAGGGTGCCTCTGGTCCCAGTGCCTCCCAGTCAGAGCTGATGCACCCAGACGGGCATCGGGCAGTAGAGCTGCCCAGTGAGTCTGGGAGGGAGTGGCTGGCGAGGCCATGTCCTTTACATCTCCACAGTGCACATGGATGGCCAGCCTACCCACTGGGCTCCAAGAAAACAACTTCCTGGCGGAAGACCACCCACTTGGCCAGGGGACGTAGGGCCCAGACCCCTCCTGTGAGGCACCTGTGCCCAGGCCATCTCGGGTGGTCTCTCCCAGTGGGCTTCCGGGCCATGCCCTCAGGAACTGGTTCTGACTTAGCAGCTGCACCCCCGACTGCAGAGTCTTGGCCTCTGGGGCTGTCGGTGTATGTAGCCGAGGCTGCACATAGGATTGTTCAGAAGCCAGCCTTACATACCCTGAAAACCCAGGGGTGTGTGTCCGACCCCGTGGCTGTGTGTGTGGGCACTTTTACTGTTGGGTTCCACGGACCACCCCAGAGAGGCCTTGTGCCGCCTGCCCTTCCATCCTGAGAATCTCCGCTGAGCTGCTCCTCCTGCCAGTGCAGGTGCTGCTCTGGGCCCCTCAGTGTCCCCGTGCAAGACGGTCCAGAGGGGCCACCTTCCCCACTCTGGCCTGGGCCCTGGATGGGACAGGAGTGGGCCTGACTGTCCTGTCACTGGCCTTGCAGGGAGACCGGCATGAAGGGGGTGGTGCTCATCAACGGCCTGCCCCGGGACCTGCGCTGCTTCCGGAAAGTGTCCTGTTACATCATGCAGGACGACATGCTGCTGCCCCACCTCACCGTGCAGGAGGCCATGATGGTGAGTCCCCCGCCCACCCGATCGCACAGACAGCGCTGCACCCAGCATGGAGGCTGGGGGCACTGCCAGGCAGCCCGCCGTAGTCAGCGCCTCTCTTGAGCGGAGTCTGATGCCAGGCATGCTGATGGGACGGCTTCATGGAAAACACACTGCCTAGACCCCAGGTTCTCACAGAACCTGGATGCTTGGAAAACTCAGGTCAAGTTTCTGAGGTTCTTGACTCACTGGTGTGGGTGACCACTTCCAGGGCAACCACAGCCCTGCTCCCCACGGGCTGAGGGTCTGTCCTTGCCATCAGCAGCCCTCAGTTCGTCTGTGGCTTAGGCTGCTGGGCTGGGGCCCTAGGATCTTGTCTCCTGGCTTGCCACCTGCCAGGCGGGGCAGGGAAGCCAGTATTGGCTGCACACCTGCTGGGTCCCAGGCCGGGCATACACAAGCCCCACCCAGTCATCAGGTAGATAGTCCTGTGGAAACCCATGGAAAAGGTGCCACCCAGCTCAGTGGTTAGTCAGGGTGTCCGGGGCAGGGGGCCCAGGACGGCCTGGCCACGTTCTTTGCACAGACCATGATCCAGCAGGGTGCTGGGACCCTGGGCTCCCAGAAGGCCCAGCCCAGCACGGGCCATGCTGACCCAGCCGTGGGCAGTGGGGACTGCCAGAATCTCCCAGTAAGAGGGGATGGGAAGATCCACGGGGCCCCTGTTGCATGGGGCGACTTACATCTCACAGGACAAGCCTGACCTCTGGGCTTTCCTGGCACACCCAGGAGTGTTCTCAGCGGCCGCCTCACCCCTGGTCAAGAGACAGGTGTTCATTGGTGTCCGGCCAGGAGAGGTCCTGCCCTGTGCTCCGCACTTGGACGGGGCTGGAGAGTGGCAGCCGGCCAGCGTTTCATCTGAAGGGCAATTCTAACGAATTCGTAGCTCAGCAAAGGGAAACAGGGGGTCAGATAAGGGATCTGTTCCCGGACCTGCTCTGTGAGGAAACCGAAAGAGGCTTCTGCCAGATTCTCATTCAGTGTCCCTGTCCCGGAGTGCTAAGGTCGGGCGGCCCCTCCGCCGGGTGGGGCTCCTCCGGCAGGCACGTGTGCTGGGGAGCCCCACAGTTTATCCAGCCTCCAGACGGGCATCCTGATGGGCACACAGGGAACTCAGGAGGACTGGCAAACAGAATAGTAAATTTGGCAAATATAAGCCTTATGTACCCTGTTGATTCTGAATGCGCTTCACTTCCATCTTGAGTGGCCAGAGTGTAGCTTCTCAGTGAGTTACTCGGTTAAGTAGTTGGTTAACTTGTTTGATAACCTTCATTTTGATTTCTAGCCAAATCACTGCTTCCCTTTGCAGATTAGATTCAGTGATTCCTACTGTCACTTCTGTTCCCCCCGACCTTGTCACCAGGCTCTGCTGTGAAATTCATTTATTTTCAGAATCATGTTAAATTAGCTTCTGACTTTGAGAATTTCACGGTACTTTCTTTCATGTAGGGGTGATGTTGGCTACTAGCTACTGAGTCCCCATCACACATGAGCACAGGTGTACATTTCCATGTGTGACTTCTGACCCTCGGAGACCAGAGGAGAGACAGGCAGACGGGCGGACACTCGGTGTCACACAGCAGGCAGCTGGCCCTGTCCAACACTAGGACCACAGCCTCCTGGCCGCTGTCCCCTCAGCTCAGCCTCTTGCTGGCCCTCAGGGCAGCCTCACTAGCTTACTGGTGGGCAGGGTGCAGCCTCACCATGGTGCCTGTGGGGAAACTGAGGCAGAGCAGGACTAAGACTGATAGGGGGGGCATGATGACTGCCACTCGGGTTTTTACAGCTGGAGTCAGGGGCCCCGTGATGTGCTGGCAAACAGGATCTCAAGCAAAACAAAAGGAATGGCAGTGACATCCTTCTCTGTAGGACCTGTCAGTGTCTGTGGAGTGAATCCTCCCTCTGTGGATGATTTCAAGTGCTCAGTGAATCAACAAGTGGCTTATGGAACATACACCAGTGGTCTGCAAGCCCTCACACCTGGGGCTGCTTTATCTCTCAGTTGTCTGCACCTGATGTCTCTCATGGGCACAGCAGAGAATCTGACGGGCCAGCAGGGAGCACCCCAGACCGTCGCTGCTCTCCCAGCCCCTGCCTCTGTGGAGCCGGGGTGGCTGGGAAGCTAAGACGCCCGGGAAGCCAAGACACCCCTGGAGTCTCTCCATTGTCCCGCAGCTCAGAAGGCTGCCGGGGCCCTGAGCTGCTGGCGCTGCGGGTGAGGTCAGCCCCCATTCTGATTCTGCTCACTTGTGCCCTGCAGGTGTCCGCGCATCTGAAGCTCCAGGAGAAAGATGAAGGCAGGAGGGAGATGGTGAGTGTGTGCCGGGCCTCAAGTGGTCCAGATGGGCATGCAGTCCCCGTGGCAGACACAGGGGGGCTTCCTGGTGTGGGTTTTGTATGTTGGTTGGTCACCTAGCCTTCTGTCGGGGGGACAGCGGCCTCTCAGCACACGCTCTGGCCTGGCAGCCAGGGCCCAGGAGCAGCCACTCTGTGTCTATTCGGTCTTTGACTCGCATCCAGGCTCTGACACACGGGGGAGTAGCCTGGGGCAGGACAGCGGCCTCCTCAGGCCAGGCTCTCCGCCCCTCGGAGTACTGCATACACTTTACACTCAACCATTTTTCATGAAACACTAAGAGTGAAAATACTTAGTCATTCACTTAAAAATAGCCAGCCTCCACCCACACAGGCTTGCAAGAAGAAACTCGGTTCTTATGTGTTATCAACCAGCCTTTACAAAAATAAACAAGTTTCTGGGGCTACTGCGACCTTCGAATCCCTTTCCTTGCCTTTTTTTGCTTCCCTGAAACCCCAGGGAGGGGAGGGTGTTGGGTGAGCAGACCCAGCGGGGAGCACTCTTGGTGGGGGATGACCAGTTTATATTCGCATGTCGCACACATCGTCTGTAGGAGGAGGCTCAGCCTGTCTCCTCTGCCCCACGGCTGGCGCTGGTGGGATTTTCAATGTGAGAATAGAATCTGGTGAAATTCTGCTGATAATTATAAAACATGATCTTGTCTTCTAACGCCCTTGTAGGGCCACAATCCAGCAGCAGAAAGAGTAGTATTTGCAGGGGTAGCCCTGACGGTGTTTGGATGTAAAGTGGGATGAGGGTTAGAACACAGTTGCAGGTGCTGAGGAATATGAGCAGCTGTTGTGTTCACGATGCTCACTCCCCCTCTGTCCCGCACGCTAGCTAATCTCACATGAATGTAAACCGGCTTGTGTGAAGCAGTGCTGGGCGTCGTCTGGGCTCCTCCTGGAGCCCCCCCTCCGCCACTCTCCTCTTCTTGCCCCGTCACCCTCAGCAGAACTCTCGGGGTCCAGCCCAGGAATGGGGTGGGGGTTAAGCACAGGGCAGGTGGAGGAGCCCAGTTTCTGTGAGGAGTAAAACAACCCCTGTTGCTGTTGGAGATGTTTCATGGGGAGCTCCTTTATTCTGACAGTGAAGGAACCAAATAGATTAATGGACCCCAAACAAAGATGTGGGGAATATGGGGGGCACACGGGTTCCATCCCTTTCTGAAGGTGGGAGGGCCGGGCTGTGACTTCATGGTGTAGGCTGGGTACTACTAGCCTCTTCAAACAGCACACCTGAGACATCCTGTGGATAAGCAGACCCCAAGGGGAGCCGGAGAGCTCCCCGAGCAAGGTGGGGACTGGTTTGTAACTCTGCTGGGGCATCACACACTGCGGGGGTGAGCGGGTGAGGAGGCCGTAGGGTCCTGCTGACAAGTGGGGGCTTCTTGACTGACTTCCTTCGTGGAGGAGCACAGCCAGCCAGGCCCTTCCCCACTCCCCACCCTACGCCAGCTTTCTCTGCAGCAGGGCCGTCAGAGGGCACCTCCCAGCCACCAAAGGTAGCTGGTCAGGGAGTTGGGGGAGGGCCCCAGGGAGCTGCTCTGCCTGCTCACACAGAAGGCACGGGTGAGAACGCCATGTTGGCAGGGGAATGAGGGTGTTCTGGGCAGTCCCCACCCATGTACATGCCCTCCACATTCCTGGCCTAAGACAGGCTGAAAGACTGCTTCGTGTGTCCTCAGCTGGGTTTACAAGAGCAAAAACGTCAAGTCCATAAGGGTCCTACCTGCCTCTCTGTGGCTAAGTAATCCCCACGGAGTAAGGGCCTTGTGCCTGTCTTCAGATTTGTGTGCAGCTGGCTTGAAGGCAAGGAGCCACCCCTGCAGGGCTGAGGGTGTGCACATGGGTGCTGCACACGGTTCTCCCTGGAAGCCCCCAGCTGGGGCTGGGTGGGCCCATCCTCCAGTCCTCAGCCACGTGCAGATTCTGTCTCCTCCAGGAGTCCGTCAGCAGGACTGTGATTGTTTTGAAATGAAAGAGCCCCTGACAGCCTGCATCAACTCGTCTCCCTCCACCCCCTGCATGTGCCTGGGTCACAGCTGTTTATGTCCTGTGGAAACACAATACAATGGAATGTTCTAGCAAGTAGTGGAATGTGTGTCCACAGCCTTCCTTGTTTCCTGGAAAAGCAGCCCCCGCCATCAAGGGCCCCAGTGAGGGGCTTCCTCAAGAGTGAGTTCTCCCAGGGCCAGGACATTGTTTGTTATCCGGACTAGTTTTAAAACAAAACCAGCCTGCAGAGCATCACCCTTGAGAGAATACAGGAGAAGACGGGCAGGGTGGGAGGGTAGGCATGACATTCGGCCTGCATCTCCAGTATCCTCTCCCTGGGGGCTGACGGCAGGGTGGGCAGGGGTACACTCTGAGAGGGATGGTGCGGGATGACAGGAGGGCATGTGCCCTGTTTGCAGAGGCCCCAAGTCGAGCCTGGAACACCCAGGGCGACTCTTGTTCCTGAAACTATGGCCTCTGGTTCTGGGAGACCATAAGCCTCATCATTCTGGGGAGGGAATATGTGCCAGAGAGCCCACCCCACCTGCCTCACTTTGATGGCCTTTTCTGGGCGACCTTGCTGACCTTCCTTCATGGTTGGTACCCTTCAAAAGCAGTGCATTCTAGAAGAGGCAATGGAGTTGGGTTTAGGGATCAGCAGGGTGGAGGCCAAGCAGGATTTGAACCCAGATGGTCTCGCCTGAGGCTTCCTGGCCCATGGTGCAGCAGGGCCCTGCACCAGCTCTTCCTGTTACCAGAGCTGCATTTTGTACTGACTATGCATGAGTAATTCAGGAGCCAAGTGGAAATTTTCTTCCTTGTGAGCTTCTTTCTGATGATCTCATCACTCCAGAGAAGCCGCTGGACTCTGCTCCACCTGCTGCAGCCACCGGGGGCTGGAACAGTGGCCGGGCTAGTTCTGTGGGGGGCTCCAAAGCAGGCTGCCCCCTGCGTGGAGGCAGGGAGGGTGGCTCTGTCCTCTTTCTGCGGGCTGCCTCCAGGAGGAAGCTGGGAGGGACCCTGACCACTGCAGCTGAAACCAGCACCACAGCCTGCACCAAGGCCCGCTGACCTCTCCATCCCTGAGTCAATACTGGATCGATAACCCAGAGCAGACAGGGAGAACCTGGTGCAAAATGGGCTGGGTGGGAGCTGCGTCCCAGGGCTGGGCGCCGGTGGGGCTGCTGTGGGAGGGGCGACTCCAGAGCAGTTCCCAGCCTTGCTGCCCCATCAGGGACCCTGTTTTCCTATTGACAAGGGGACCTTCTGCCTTCTTTCCAAGGACCTGGTCTATATGGTCGTGTGTCTGTAGGAGCTGTGTGCTCTAATAAGAGCATCATTAATAGCTGCCCTCAGTCAAATGCTCACAACGTGCTGGGCACTGTGCCAGGCTTGCTCCCTCATTATCCCGTTTAGCTGTCACAGTGGCCCTCCACTTTGAGCTGCTCAGAAATCTGATCATCCATCCTTGTATGTGTCCACCTGTTGCACAATGTTCGTTGAACACCCTCCTGACCTGCTCCCTGAGTAAAGGAACTTGCAAGGTCATAGCAGAAGGCAGAACAAGGACCCTGGCCCAGAGGCCTGAGCCCAGAACAGCTTCTCAGCCTCCTAGGCCTGCTTCAGAGCCTCGGACTAGGAAATGCACCTGCCCACTTAGCAGTGGGTAGCCTGGGCTGGACCATGATTTGCACACCCATCTGTGCATGGGGTGTCTGTGCATGGGGTGGGGGAGGCGGCAGATGTCTCCACGTGGGCCCTAACGGTGGCTAGGCATGGCGGGCAGTCCCTGACAGGCACTCTGGCTCTGTTGCTCCCCAGGTCAGGGAGATCCTGACAGCTCTGGGCCTGCTTTCATGTGCCAACACGCGGACAGGGAGCCTCTCCGGGGGCCAGAGGAAGCGCCTGGCCATCGCGCTGGAGCTGGTGAACAATCCCCCGGTCATGTTCTTTGACGAGCCCACCAGGTACGCGGGAGCACGGAGGGAAGGGCCTGCCCTCTGCACTAGCAGCACTTACAGGGCCCGCTGGCGCCTCAGAGGGGAGAGGCTCCGCCTGCCTGTCTTTTTCTCCCGCTGTTCTAGGCTCACACAGCAGGCCTGGCTGAGACAGGCTGAGAACTGCACACACAGACCTGCTCAGTGTGCTTAGGGTTTGGTCTGGGGGTCCCACAGGCATCTCATGGAGCCCCTTGTCTTGCAGTGGCCTGGACAGCGCCTCCTGCTTCCAGGTGGTCTCCCTGATGAAAGGGCTGGCTCAGGGGGGCAGATCCGTCATTTGCACCATCCACCAGCCCAGCGCCAAGCTCTTCGAGCTGTTCGACCAGGTATACAGGCCCCACTGTAGCCCAAGTGGAACCCGCCCCTGCCCCTCACAGCTTCACGTTAGTTCAATGGGGTGACTTCATTTCTGAGTGAGCCATTAGCCACTGAGGTGGCAGGGCAGCGGGGGTGGGAAGAGCTGGCCTGTGTTCTCTCTCTGGGGCCAGTGTCCAGCCTCAGGGTCTTGGGCAAGTCACTGACAATGCCAAGGCTTCATTCCCCACCCATCCCCTCACCCGCCGGCTACAGTGAGGGAACACCTGTCTTACAGAACTAAATGGCAGGTGGATATTTATGCAAAATCACCTTTTTTGTAATTCTTAGGTTTTGATCGTATTATGAGCCAAAAAAAAGTCCCAAGAGATGAAATATTTATAGCTCTAAAATCTTTCCTAAGCAGGTGGTTAGTGTGAGGGGAAATAAAACCACTATAATAAAATACTTCCTGGCCACATGATATCCTCAGTCTTCCATGACTTATCATGGATTTCCCTTTCAACCTTAGCAGAGTCCTTTGGGATAATGTAAAGCTCTCCTGAGAGAGAGAAATGGATGGATGGGTGGGTGGATGGGTGGATGGATGGGTGGATGGGTGGATGGGATGGATTGGTGGGTGGGTAGATAGATGGTGGATGATGGATGGATGGAGGGATGGAGGGATGGATGGACAGATGGGATGGGTTAGATGGGTGTGGATGGGTGAGTGGATGGTTGGTTGGATGTGGGGATGGGTTGGGGCTGGTGGGTTGAGAGCTTCTGTTGCTTTACAGAAGAAGGCAGGGTTCATATTTTGCCTCTCCTTTTTTCCAGCTTTATGTCCTTAGTCAAGGACAATGTGTATATCGGGGGAAAGTCTCAAATCTTGTACCGTACTTGAGGGATTTAGGTCTGAACTGCCCTACCTACCACAACCCAGCTGATTTTGGTAAGTAGAGCCTTGACCAGCTAGAAGGAAAAGAAAGGGGGTCTTTTCCACTTTTGGTGGGTTTACAGTTTCACAGGAACTAGAACAAGGGAGCTGATGTTAGGAGAGATATTTCCTAACACATTTTCCTGTTAGGCTTCTCACTTAAGAAGTTACTTATAAAAAGAAAGAACCTTAAAAATAAAAAATACCTTTTTGCATTGATTAGCTGATGTGTTAAAATGCTGACTTAAATTTTGACCAAATAACAAAGAAGGTGACGCTTGGAGTGCAGAGACCAGGCTGACGTCAAGCGATGTCTCTTTCACGGAGGTGCCATGGTTGGTGGCCCTCAGTGCTTGGCAGCCGATTGCATGGCCTTGAGATGTAGGAGCTCATGTCTTCAATGCCCACGTCACTCCCAGGGCTCCTCCTCTGGCTTCTCCTTATGCCCCACAAGCCCAACAGCCTCTTCAAGTCCAGTGGCTCCAAAACCAGCTGCCTCTTCCTCCTGTCATTCTGCTCCCCCTCCAAGCTGGAGACCTTGGCATCCCTCTGCCTTCTGTTCTCTGGAGCTGCATATTTATTAGACCACCAGGTGCTTGCACACCCACCCCCAGCCCCCTTGTCCCCTCGGCCACTGTACCTGGGTCCGTGTTTGCCACCACATCCTGCCTTCCTGGGACAGCTGGGACAAAACACTGCACAGTGGATGCCTACAACAGTAGAAATCCATTCTCTCACCGTGCTGGTGGTCAGAGTCAAGGGGTCAGTGGGCCGTGCTCCCTCTGAAGGCTGGAGGGGAGGGTCCTTCCTGCCTCTGCCCACTGCTGGCAGCCCCAGCTTTCCTTGCACTGTGAATGCACCACTCCATTCTGCCTCTGTCTCCACACGGCTTTTCTCTCTGTTTCCCTCTGTGTCTCCTCCTCCTCTTATAAGGACACCAGCCACTGGATTCGGGGCTCACCCTAAATTCAGGATAATTTCTTCTCAAGAGTCATAACTAATTTAACCTGCAAAGAACCTTTTCCAAATAAGGCCACATTCTGAGGTTCTGGGTGGATGTGACTTTTCAGGGGATACCATTCAACCCACTACAACCCTCCCCTTTTGTCCCCTAGCCATCAGCCATTCTTGCTCCGTTGTTTTTCATTCAAACATCTGGCCACTCTTCTCCTAGGACCCATAGTTCCTATATCATCTCCCAGATTGTGTTCCAAGAGGCACCTGCCACGTGGGAAGCATCTGTCCCTTACAAACAGTGGGCTGCGTTGGACAGGAGCAGGGCACAGTGATGGCGAGCTCCTTTATAGGGAAGAGGCAGTGGGGGGTCCTCTAATGGCAGCGAATTTGTTCACAAGAGAGAGAAGGACCTTGGGGATGGGCTGCTGAGCAGGGGCAGGGCAGTGAGGCCCAATGCCTGCAAAGAGCTGGGAATCTCAAGGGGAGGACTGACTGCAGCAGAAATCAGGCATGTGGGCCTGCGGAGGGTCCCGGAGGGGTGAGGGCGCTCCCTTCGCATGGCCTCTGTTTCTTCAACACCACCTGGAGGGAGGCAGGGGTGAGGAGAAAGGCCCTTTAGAGCGTAGTGGCTGTGAGGACCCAGTGCAGGTGGCGCTGGCCAGGGGACAACCTGTCCCTGTCTGTGACTGGATCAGGAGGCTTGGCTGGTGGGTAAGGCCTGAAGCACACAGACAGGTGGTTTTGCCAGGGGGGAGTGCAGAGAAATCAAGGTCTGGGGACTCGGAGCAAGTATGTTAGTGAGGCGAGGGCTGGGAGCGCACAGGAGGGACATCGGGGGAGGGAGGGATGGTAGACCTGGGCCCTGACGGAGCAGCAGCCACCCTAGAGTGTGGGACCAGGAGAGGCAAGGGGCAGGGCCGTGGATGGGCGGCAGCTCAGAGGAGGTGCGCCCCCAGGGCCCTGGAGGGCGGTCAGTGGAGGGGGCCCCCCTGGGGCCTCCCCAGGGCTGATGGCTCCATGGTCTCAGCATCCCCATGGTACTGCGCACACCTCGTGGCTTTTCTCCGTGGTCCCCGAGAACTGCCACGTCTCTCGTCACAGGCAAAGGGCGGGCCATCCAAGCAGGAGCCGTGGCCCTGTGCTCCTCTCCCAGCTCTGCTGTTCCAGCCTGGCAGCAGGCACTGGTGACCGTTGCCTGGAGGCCTGAGCAGATCACTTCTCGGGCTCTCTGATGTCACCACGTGTTGGTGTTTCCAGACTCCTGATGTGATAAATGGCCTTGTAGGGGATTTGGAGCCAAAAGAACCCTGGCTGCTGAACGACTTTATCATGTCATGCAGTATCCATATGACCAGGTAGAACTACTCCCGCTAGATAGGTGACTAGCACCCCCAAATGAGAGGCCTAGAGCTCCCACTCGCAATACAGGGTACCTCCCCTGGGCCTATGCTGACCGTCCATGTCTCCCATAGTCATGGAGGTCGCGTCTGGCGAGTATGGTGACCAGAACAGTCGCCTGGTGAGAGCCGTCCGGGAGGGCATGTGCGACCCAGACTTCAGGAGGGAGCCTGGCGGGGATGCCGAGGTGAACCCCTTCCTCTGGCACCGGCCCTCCGAAGAGGTAAAGCAGGAGAAACGATTGAAGGGGTTGAGAAAGGTACTGCACCACCCCAGGCCCTGGCAGGGCTGTGGCTGCACTGGGCACCTGCTGAGGGGCAGCTCTTTCTGAGCCGGAGGGAATGCATGCGGGCTTGGCGTCTCACCCTCTCCCCACCCACCCTTCCCGGCTGTGTCCTCAGGATGCCAGCTCCATGGAGGGCTGTCACAGCTTCTCGGCCAGCTGCCTCACCCAGTTCTGCATCCTCTTCAAAAGGACCTTCCTCAGCATCATGAGGGATTCGGTAAGCTTTGCAGTATTCCCTCGAGGCGAAGCAGGCTGTGGGGCTGTCTTCTGGTTTGTGCATCTGGACTGAGCTTTCAGATTGTTCTTCCCCTGTTTGCATTAGTCAGCTTTTGTTCTTTGACGCTACAGTAACAAACATGCCCGAGTGCTTCCATTGCCCATGACAGCAAATATCCATGCTTTGCTTGTATTACATGTTGACAGCTGTGGGTCGTGGCCCTGCCCCTTGTGTTTCTCTCCCTGGGACTCAGAATGGAGGAATGGCTCCTTTCTGGATCATGGCAAAGGGAAAGTGCAAGAGCGAAACCAAATGGCAGCCCTTAAAACTCTGGTTCGAGGTGGCAAATTGTTCTTTGTACTTACATTCCATTGGCCAGAGCAGGTTGGGTGGCCAGGCCTGCTGCTTGGGGGCCTGTGCCTCCCTCAGGAAAGCACTGCAAGTGTGGGGCACCAGCAGGTTGTACGGAGCCCTGTTGGGACGCGGGTCATGAATGACTGGGCACCACGGGATTAGAGCAGATGATCTGGCACCCTGACTGAGAGGGGCTGAGAGCTCAGTGGGGCCTCTGTGGCCTAACTTGAAAGATGGAGGGGCCTGTAGCTGCCCAGGCCGGAGCTCTTTGGAGGCAGCCTCAGATACGTCCATTCCTCGTCCCCTCCCTGCCACTGTTTCTACTGGTCTCCTCTGAAGCTAGACTGCTCTTGCTTGCCATTTTTGAATAACTGCTGTTTTAACAGCAATAGTATGCTTCTGTGTGTGTGTGTTGGCTTAGGGTTGGGGCTTGTTTTTCTGGAGGAGAAGGCGCAGGACTCCTGAAGCCCTGGGCCTCCTCCTCCTCATGTCACTGCCCAGCTCCAGAATTTCCAGCATGTGAGTAAGAACTGTGCCTGTCCCCAGGTCCTGACGCACCTGCGGATCACCTCCCACATTGGAATCGGCCTCCTTATTGGCCTGCTCTACTTGGGGATCGGGAATGAAGCCAAGAAGGTCTTGAGTAACTCTGGCTTCCTCTTCTTCTCCATGCTGTTCCTCATGTTCGCCGCCCTCATGCCCACTGTTCTCACATGTGAGTACCTGGCCACGTACCCACCTCCCTTCATCACCTGGGATTCCCACCTGTGAATGGGGGTCATGGGTTGGCCACAGGATGAGTTTTCTGAAAACATAGTGTCTCAATTTTTAGAAAATAGCAGTCTTCTTTATTGGTAGATGTAGGTATTATTACACTTTCTGTGAAAGAAGAAAATACATGCAATGTTTAAACCAAAGGAATTAATCACTAATGGAAAACCTGTAAGCATAGTGGAAGGCTGAGGAGAGATTTTTAAAAGGTTTTCCTATCAGAACCCCTCAAAATCTACTGCTTAAGTATTACCTTGTTCAGTTATTAAGATAGCCCAAGTTTGTAAGTGGGTAAAGATATTCTAGGTTCATTCTGGATTTTTGTACAATTCTGGATTGCAGAGTAGGCCACCCGTGCTCACTCTGGGCTGCCAGTGTAGAAAGCTGTTGCCTCACCAGGATGGCAGCATGAACCTCCCTGCAATGCCTCCTCCCTAAATTGCCCTGGACTTCCAGGCCCAGCTTGCTAGGTCTTGCCCATGGAGGGAACCACAGTGTTACAGTCACTCAGTGAGAATAAGGTTAGTAGTAAATACTTGTGCTGATCACTAAAGTAATACTCAGTATCTGTGTGGACATTCTTGGATTCGCCACTTAGTGACTCTTCAGGCTTTAAGAATGGTTGGCAGTTTTTCCTGGCTAGCAAATCATTTCACATCTTTTCATTCAAATTCTAAGTAGTGGGAGGCCCACACCGTGGCCTGGGCTAGGTTACGGCTGCAGAGAGCTCAGCACAAGGTCACCTGGTGCACTGGCTATGTCTGCTTGACCCCTGGTCACTTTCTTGTGTCCTAGTTCCCCTGGAGATGGGAGTATTTCTTCGCGAACACCTGAATTACTGGTACAGCCTGAAGGCCTACTACTTGGCCAAGACCATGGCCGACGTCCCCTTCCAGGTACATTAGCCAAGGGGCAGGATTTGAGGAGGGGCATGAACTGTCCATTAGCCCCGTAGAAGGGGTGAGGGCCCTGGCTTCCAAGGGAGTGACGGACCTGTGCTTGCAGATCATGTTCCCCGTGGCCTACTGCAGCATTGTGTACTGGATGACGTCGCAGCCTTCTGATGCCGTGCGGTTCGTCCTGTTTGCTGCACTGGGCACCATGACCTCACTGGTGGCCCAGTCACTGGGCCTGCTAATCGGAGCCGCATCCACGTCCTTGCAGGTACCAGCCCTGCTGGCACGTTGACAGCAGCAGGTGCCCTTGGTGGTGCCCTGCGCGAGCCACATGCCGTTCTCGGGGCTTCCTGCTCAAGAGCTCATTTGGTCCCCTTTACCCCCGAGTTAGGCGCAGTGCCATCTGCTCTTCACGGGTGGGGGGACTGAGACCCAGAGAGGTTCCTTGGTCACGTCATGCAGCTGCTCAGAGGCCACACTCTCAACACCTATTCTGTTGCCTCCGTGGGGCCCAGGGGACCATCCCTTAGACTCCCCTGCCCTGCACTCTCCACCCTGCCCTGAGCCCCTCCTTGTGCCCTCTTGACACCATCTCACCCACCAAGTCCATGTGCCTCCCCCATTTTTGTACCTCTGGGGCTTCAGGGGTCCTGGCCAGTCCTGTCTTTAGAACAAATTCAGAACTCTGGTGAGTCCTGTACGCCAAGGCCTTCCGAGGTCCTGCTGGCTGCCGTGTGCTTCCTGTTTCCACCCTTGCAGCTGTTTATCCTCTGGGCATCCCCTCACCTGTGGGCGGGAGCAGTGAGGTGTCTGGCCAAGGGCCATCGGAAGTGCTCGCCACACCGGCCCACAGTCAGCACCCTCCATCCCTCAGACAGCTGCCCAGGCGGCTGTGCCCCCTCATTAAACACCTTCATCCCCATCCACTGCTCAGTACGAGGCTTTCCTCTCTTCTGCCTCAGTCTCCTCCGCCAGGGCCCGCTGAGCCTCTGGGCAAAAAACCCAAGCTTCCCTCCTGGTAGGAACACCAGGTGCCTCCCTCCACCGTCCTGGCCTGTGCTCCCCATCCCAAAGGCTCTGGCCCTTCCCAGTGTGGATGACTGCCCAGCAACGTGGATATGGCCTCGGGGCCACCCGAGGAGGAAGTTTTGGGCTGCCGGGCTGCCCGCCTGCTCTCGCCCAGTACATTCGCCTCATCCCCGCAGGTGGCGACCTTTGTGGGGCCTGTCACGGCCATCCCTGTCCTCCTCTTCTCGGGGTTCTTCGTCAGCTTTGACACGATCCCAGCCTACCTGCAGTGGATGTCCTACATTTCCTATGTCAGGTAGTGTGTGGGGAGCCTCTGTGCTCTGGGGGGACGTCATGATAGAGGGGAGGGGCTCTGTGAACATGCACATGCTCCCGGGAGCCGCTTCCAGTTCTGTGTCCCTGCCGTCCCCCTCACACCCGCACACAACCACACAGCCACAAACAACAGCGAGTGAAAATAAATACTGCGAGTCACACCCCGAGGAAGCCGTGGAGTCCCTGCCCTGTGGGCACTGCCAGGCTCCCTGGGAGGGAGCGTTTCCCTCCTTAGGAACATCATTCCTCTCTGGAATAAGCAGAGCTTGTAACAAGGTCCTGAATATTTGTAAAACCTTAATAAGAAAGCCAAAGGAAAGTAAGTGTTAAACACCCTAATATCTTTGAACAAGAATATTCCAGCCTGTAGGGCCCATTGGCATCAGAGCCTGTGCAGGGGGGGGGCCCTGAGCCTGTGCAGGGGGAGCTCTGGCACCCTGGCCCTGAGCCTGTGCAGGGGGAGCTCGGCACCCTGGCCCCTGAGCCTGTGCAGGGCGAGCTCGGCACCCTGGCCCTGAGCCTGTGCAGGGCGAGCTCGGCACCCTGGCCCTGAGCCTGTGCAGGGGGAGCTTGGCACCTTGGCCCTGAGCCTGTGCAGGGGGAGCTCTGGCACCCTGGCCCTGCCAGGTGGGGTGCCCTTTAGAGCTTTTCTCCCCAAGATGTAGTGATTCTCCCTGACACACAAGATCCAAAGTTGGGAACAGGCTTTGCTTTTCTGGAATGTCAGTTCAGACCCAGGTGTATTGTTCAGGAAAACAAAATCAAAACAAAGCACTTGTACAGAGTTTCAGCAATCCGTTTGCGCTGCAGTACCAAGAAATCAGAAACCCGTGTCTTTCTTCTCAAAATTAGTGCCTTTGTCTTGACAGTGTAGGGCTGGAGCAGAATGACAGATGGTGCAGAAATGTTTTCTTTGAATGCTTCATTGTCCCTGCAAGGCTATTAGACTCTTTATTATAACTAACTATTCAAAAACCATGCAGTATGAGAGGTAATCCAAGCATTTGTCAATCCACTTCACCACTTCACAAGTATGACTGTTTATTCCGTATGTTTTTTTGGTGGGGACCCTGGAGGAGACAAAACTGGAAAAAGCCTAGTCGAGCCCTCGGATATGTTTCAGGAAGATGTTGGAGGTTAGGTAGCACTGCCATGAAGGAAAGTATATGGGAGGGATGGAATGCCAGGCCGAGGGCCTTAGGAATGGCCACCTGCGCCCCCTGGCAGACAAGGCAGGGCTAGGCTTCAGGGGAAGGCATCTCACACCTGGCACTTCCCCTCAGGTATGGCTTCGAAGGGGTCATCCTCTCCATCTATGGCCTCAACCGAGAAGATCTGCACTGTGACATTGACGAGACGTGCCACTTCCAGAAGTCAGAGGCCATTCTCCGAGAGCTGGACGTGGAGAACGCCGAGCTCTATCTGGACTTCATTGTCCTCGGGGCTTTCTTCATCTCCCTGCGCCTCATTGCCTATTTTGTCCTGAGATACAAAATCCGGGCAGAGAGGTAAGCACCTGAATGTCCCTGGAGAGGAAAACTAGACATTGTGGCCAAGGGCACCTTCCGGAATCGCGGCGGTGAGCCCGTGCCTGGTGACGCAGAGACTGCTCTGATCCGACTCCTGGAAGCATGCTGGCTCGGCAGGTGTCTTGTGCTGGACTTCGCACAGCCGGGGTGGGTCTTCTCTCCATTGCCCTTTCCAGCTTTAACTAGGAAGAAGATGTGGAAAGGTTTTTTTTTTTTTTTTCACATGCAGAATTTAAAAATACCAGAACTGGGGCAGAATTTGAAGCTACAGAGCAGCTGGTGATGAGTGGCTTCTGCGGTCAGATCCCTCCTGTGACCAGGTCACTGGTCCCGGTCTGGGTCAGGCAGCTCTCAGCTGACAGCTGTGCAGCTGGACGTCCTGGGGAGGCAGGCTGAGTGAGGAGGGATTCCGTCTACAACTGTTGTTTTTCATAGTTACATCTTTTTACGGTTTGTCTCTTTTTCCAATGAGAAGTCATTTTCCAAGCCAAAAGTTGATAATTTTCATTTGTTTTAAGAAACTATGTCTTTTTAGTACTTGTTGAAGAAAACATTCAGGATAAATACGTATCGTATTTAGAGGTATAAGGGGTGTATTGCTGAGCTGGTCTCGCTTACAGAGAGAAGGTATGGAAGATGCAAATGCAGGTTGAGAGAAGGCTTTGGAAACTATATGCGCCAAGCCATGCACAAATTTTAAAAAGTTATACAAAAAGCTTACGATGAACATGGCCAACTCTTTCATTTTCCCCATGCTTATGTTAAGCAGAATACATTGTTTCTTCCTTCCTAACTTTCTGAGAACTTTCATTTTGCCCAAAACATTTCTAGAAGCTCAACCTTCTTGATTTTTTACGAACACTTTCTCTGCTCGTGTATCACACCAGCTCCCGCCACTGAACCTGGGAAAGCTGGGCAGAGGGAATCCTGGGTGTGGGCTGGGGGCTCTGCAGGTGAGCCTGGGACAAGGTCACTGCATGAGGGCAGAGGCTGCAGCTGCGCTGGAGCCCACGGCTGTGCAGACAGAGCCACGGAGCGGCCAAGGGGTCGGACCCCTGACACACCGGGCCGAGGTGTGGGCGAGCCCAGCTCGCCCCCCTGCTTTCCCGACCCCTCAGCTGCGCCGTCTTCTCGCTGCTGGGCTTGTGTAGACTTCACCCAGGAATCCCCTCCTGGCCGTGATGCAGTCTCCTCGGGAATCTCGCGGGCAGGGACGGCGGTCACATCTGCAGGACAGAAGGCCTTCGGCATCACTAGGGTACACGGGCACGGGCCCGAGCCAGCCACCAGAGGCTTGGGGCCACTGGTGGACAGGGGTTGCAGCCACACAAGGTCATTTGAAGGAAGAATATCATTATCCTGGAGTTGGGGGTCTTCTGAGGAAAGATGGTGTTTTTGTGGGGAAACCCATTTGCCCCTCTGAGCCTCAGTTTCCTCATCTGTACATGGCAGCATTTGATGGCCTTCAAGGCCGTTTTCAGCTCTAAAGGGTTCTTCTCCCCTGGGGTTATGTTCCCAAAGCTCTACTTCCTCCTTTAAGAGATGGAAAGAGCTTAGGTTTTCCTTGCACCCGGATTTGGTCGCAAGTGCTTGGAGGCCCCTTTCCACCCTTAGATGCTCTTTAGTGAGCCCAGCGAGGACACTTCAAAGCAATTTTCAGTTTGCTTGTTCTGCTCCAAGGTGGCGTCGCCTTCCAGATTAAGTTATTAAGCAGGGACAATCTTGGCCTTTCTGAGTCTTTATTTCAAGACAGACCTTCCTGTACCGCATTGCAAAGGAGCCCCGCATAGGATAGCCAGTGAGATATGGCGGGGAGTGGGGGGGGGACAGGAAAGGTCTTGGATTATGTCTCAGATGACATCAGGTGCGGTCAGAGTTTAAAGGCCTCTTTCTCCCCAAGTGAGCCCTCTCAGTGGCACATCTGTGACCCACTAAGGGCGTGCATGCTCGGGCCCGCACCATGTAGGGCCCCTGTCCCCAGGCCACGGCGGTTCCTCTCTTTCTCTTCATGAGCCTCTGGCAGACTTTCTTCAGGCTCAGATGTTCATCCCCAGGTATTTTCCTTCTGCCGTCATTTTCAGGTAGTTTGATAACACGCTGAATTCTAGTGGCCTCAGACACTGTCCGAGCAACCTCTGGACTAGTCTCTCTGAGCCGCTGTGGTTCAGAGGCAGGCGATGTGCTGTCTTTCACTCACTGGAATTTAAACCGGCCAACTCCCCAAATCCAATTCTTTTAGGTAATTTCTGATGTAGCAACTCGGGCCTCCTTTCACCTCTGTGCAGAGTCTTTGCATAGAAGGAAGGGTTAGGCCTTGGATGCAGGGTGCGCAGCCTCCCCAGGTTAGAGCAGGTGAGCGTGAAAACCCCAGGGACATGCCCACGAGGAACTGGTCAGCAGGGGCGGTGCCACGGGCTCTGCTGCTGCTCTCGCCCCGCCTCCACGCCAGCCAGGTCTCTGCTGGCCCCTCATCTTGGGACCTGCCACCTCTGTACGCACTCAGAGCAGTTTGTGCTTTCCCCACTTTGCCCAGGAAGGGAAGAAACCTTTTACATAGAAGAGGCTGGACTCCCATGGAGTCACCTTGGGGGAGGGACCTTCAGGACCAGGAGTGGGACGTAAGCTTTCAGGTAAAAGCTCATCCTACAGGTCCACAGGAAGCCATTCCCCTCCCCGAGGGAGGGGTAGCCAGGGGGTCAGGGGCAGGCCCAGGGGGCAGAAATCGCCTTAGGGTCCCACCGAGGAGAGAGCGTGGGCCCCAGTGCACTGAGCGTTCTGGGCTGCTGGGCACTCTGAGCACCGCGCTGGACACCTCACACGTCCCTCTGGTCACCTTCTCGCTCGGCCGACTGTTACGGGCCATCCCCAGGTGCTCGGTACTGTCCCAGGCCTGGGGACTTGGGGAAGGGAACCCAGATGGGCTCGCCCTCCACTGCAGGCCGGTAGGACATCTGTTCCCTGTGCGGGTGCAGGACGCCAAGGCTGAACGAGAGCTAGGATGCTCTGGGGCCCGGGGTCAGGAAAGAGCCGAGATGGATTTGAGGCCCAGTGTGACCCTAAAACCCCTATTTTTTTACTTTGCCATATTGCCTCCTGCTCATAGTGTGTAAACATACACAGAAATGCTCTGTAAGGTGTGAAGTGCAATACTAGTTTCATGGCTCTTCGTTTTGGACTTACTGTCACCAAACAGCTGAGATGGGAGGGTGGCCTGCCCCCTTGTCCCTAGTCATCTCGTCCTGTGCTGACCCAGGGGGACAGAGTCCACTCCTTGGTGATGGCAGCCGCCTTCCTTGCCCTTCCTGGGTCTTAGCTCCCTGACGCAGCGCACCTGTGGGCTAGCTGGGGCCAGAGAGGGAGGGCCGGGAGTGCCCACATGCATGTGCGGGCATACACCTGTGTGTGTCCCGGTGTGTGTCTCATAGTGTCAGTCTGTGGCGTTTCCTTGTCTCTGATCCTCAATTGTCCTTCACTCCAAGAAGGAAAGAAAGATTTTTGTATCGTGCAGATAGTCAAGGCGTTGTCAAAACCTTTTAAGGCTTTAAACACATGCCGGGTCATTTAGAAGGTGACAAAGAGGAAAGCAAAATGCCCAGGTGGGGGAGGCTTGAGTGTATGAATGTAAAGTTAGATACTTTAAGAAATAAAGACTGCTAATAAAATATTTTATATAAAACTTTTTACTTGTCTTCAGTTTTCCATGCTTCAAATTCAAAATGATTTGCTTGAATGTTACAGGTAAAGAGGGGTTTATAGGTTGCATTTTAAATATCTTTTTTATATGTCTAGTAAGAGCTCTGCTTTATGACTTAGTGTTCCAATCTAACACCTGGTTGTAAATCATCCCCTTTGTTTTGGAAACTTTCATCTTTTATGTTGAACTGTCTTAAAGTCTGTCTTTTCCCTACATTTTCCCATGTGGTAATGTCAGCCACAGCCACGAACAGTGCCAGGACTCCAAACGCACCTGCTGGTGCCCGGCCTTCCCATGACGTCCTGCCTGTGTTTGCTTCAGTCTCTGTGGTCATGGGCACGCACTGGTAGTTCTGCTGAAGGGACGCCCCACACTCGTTGCTCTAGTGTTCCAGGAAACCCATTTTCTGGGGAAAGCAGCCCAACAAGCTTAGCTCCCAGAGTCAGTGCGAGCAGGACCCAGAGGAGCCCAGCTTTATGTGTTGTATTAGCTCCCGGCTCCCCGAACTCGACTGAGTAAAGAGCCAGGACTTCTAAGGCTGGTGCTATTAAGGCCTGGCTGCCAAACTCGTCTCCTCTCTTACGTCCAGGACACAGCAGAGAGCAGGGCTGGCAAAGTGAGAGAATGATAGTCCCTGCAGCCCTCCTGAGAGATGGAGAGAGGGGTGGTGGGCATAATCCCAGGTGTGCAACTAGCTCGCAGTGACAGTGTTTGCCAACCACTCTCTTTGCTTCTGTACCTCTTGTCTCAGCAGACCAGCCGTCCCTCCCTCGATGCAGCTTATAGGAAAGTCATGGTCGGCCTGGGTCACTGTACTCAGCCACTCACACCAGGGAGGTTCCTCTGAGTCACTCTCTGCAAAGCTGGGTGCTTCTGATGTCCATGTTCACAGCCTCCATGGGCCCAGAAGCAGGGTAGAAATGGGGGAGCCCCCATTCCTACTGCACAGCCTAATATGCATGCTTGCAAGCTCAGTTCAGCCTTTCTTTAAAATCTGCGCCTCTCGGGCAAGAGGACATTAGGGTGGCACAGGGCTCATGCTTCTGCTGGGGGTGACCAGGTTCCTGAGAATGATTGCACATCCTTCCCCATTTCAGCATCCCATCTTTGAGGAAACAGAAAACTTAGCCTTAGCCTTAGCCTAAGTTTTTATGTTATCTCTGAACATGCCAGCTTGGCATCTCTCCTCAAACAGACATTTGGGGCTTTCGTGGTGCACCCTGGGGGCAGCTGAGGAAAACTGGCTTGGATAAAGGGCGATGTGGCCTAGGTCAGCCTTAGGGATGCTGGTGCCTCCTGTTCCCCCAAACCGACCCAGGCACCAACAAGGAGGAAACGGTCCCCACGCACTGGCTACCTGTCCAGCCAGGGCAGCGGTGACAGTGACGGGGCACAGCCTGGGGCTCTTCCACGGCAGAGTGGCCATTGTGAAGCTGAAGAGAGGGGGAGAACGCAAGAAAGTGTCCTTGTTTTGTCACAAACAAGGCTCCGGGTGGAGCCTGCCACTGCGCCTGCGCCGAGGTCTCCATTTGGGCCTCTGCAGCTGGAGGTGGATCTTGCCCCGGGGGACACTGCATGGCCTCTGCCTCCAGGCCAAGCCAAGGCTGTGGCCACAGGCACGTACGCGCTGTCTCTCGGGCTCAGGCTTTAGGGTAAGTCTGTCAGCCCCTAGGCGGGAGCACCTGATCCTAGAAACAGCATGAGCCCAAGCTACACAACTAAATAGAGCAAGACTCAAAATTATTACCTGGCTGGGTTTTTCATCGGCTTCATCCTCTGAGTAAACCTGGAGTCCTGCTGATCGCCTTGGGGTGCCTTGGCCTATGCCTCGCACGTGAACTTAACCACGGCCCTGATACTGCTTACAGTTATTTCCTCATGCTCACTGGTGCTCACTGGTGCTAGGAGGGGACTTACAAGCCACCTGCTATTCCCTCTGCATGACGGGGCCGAGGTGAACTGGGACAAGGAGCTGACGCCAGCTCACCAGCATTGAGGCAGTGAGGGGCGACCTGGGGCCGATTCTCAAGCTCCCAGATGAGTCTCCCCTGAGGTTGGCTTCAGCCTGGTCCTACCTAGCCCCTGGCACAGGCCTGGATCAATACAGGGAGCTCCCGAGGAAAGTGCATCTGCCAAATGGTGCTTTGCTGGGCAGCAGGCTCTGGGGCAGCAGTTACCACAGTGAGCTCCCCTCCTGGGGGGCCCCGGGGTGGAACGGATGAGGCCTGGAAATCACGGGGCAGGCAGGTTGATGGCTGCGAGCTGTGTCCGCAGGTTCCTGGTGATCCTAGGTGCACCTCACTGAACAGTACTATGGGCACTCGGTTTCCGGAAAGTATTTGGTGGCCATGGTAGCTATTTTGTGTTTGTACCTTTACATTTTTTTTTTTTTTACAATTCCGGCATCATGTACCTTGGGAATCTCATTTCCACGGCCTTTGGAATGCAGGCTGCCTCAGCTTAATCATAAATACCTCATTTTAAAGTTCTCAGCCAATTAAAACTGGTAGCCAAAGGTCCTATCATCCCAAGTATAAACAAACAGACCACCAAACCCAAACGGGAGGGGGAGAAAGTGGATGAGATTTTTAGTAGAAGGTGTGTGTTTACAAAGTTACTCTGTATGACCAACCCCCTTGCCCTAGATTGCTTTGCTTTTTTCTTTGTGGAAGTGTTGGAGGGATACCTGATAGGGGCTGGACCTGAATTGTTGCCTTTTCTCTTTGTTATTCCTTCCAAAGCAAGAGTCAATGCCAGTAACATTTCAATCAGCATGCAAACATGTGCACATACCTGTTTATCTAATATGTAATTATGTGATCCCTATTATGACAGTGCTGTGTGCACAACCGCACGCCCACGGAGCCAGGGTCCTCAGGATGCACTGTTGCTCGCGCACTGTGAGGGCTTTGTGCTGTTGTAGGTACACACACGACACGTATACATTCCTACAGAAATAGATAGACTCAAAAGTAACATCAGCTGTCCTGGGTATGCATCTCCCTGTTTCCTCTGTTGGAGCATAGACCCCAGATGACCCTGGGATGTGAGCTTTCTAATGTCCCTTGCAGACCATCACCCTGCTCTGTATATTTCTGTAGAGTTACCTCCTTAAGATGGTTTGTATGTACATATTTTGCAGACTTGAACTTTGCTTTCTGAAATGAGATGCCATTTATGAAAATGTGACATAGATCAAATAAACACTGCTATTTTCAGATTTCTCCTTCTCTCTCCTTTTGCTTCAGCAGCACCAGCTCTCGGACCTGCTGGGGGAAAGGGGCCTGGGGTCCAGTGGGGCATGGGCAGCGCTCTCCCCATCTTGGGCTGCCCTTGTTCTTAGGAGTGACTCCTTGGGTAGGTGTTGGAGTGGATTCGGGTGAAGTTGGACGATTTAAGTAAGAGGGCTGGTCCTGGCATGCCACCTAGTGTCTGTTCATAAGCATCTCATTTAACCACCATTCTCAGAGCCAGCCAGCCGCTGTCAGCCCCATTTCTCAGGTGAGGAAACTGAGGCTTGGAGGTCAGACAACCTGCCCAAGGCAAGAGGTGGAGGCAGAATTCAGAGGGTGACAAGCTGGGGAGCCAGGGCTCCTGTCCCTGCCTTGGGAAGAAGACAGACAGCAGTGGCTAGCAAAGGAGGCAGATGGCCTTGCCACAGGCAGGTGCCTGGGAGAGTCTGTCGCCATAGCCAGTGGAGACTTCTCCTGCTTTGTGGAGGGGTAAGGTGATGGACAGACATCCCCAGGAGTCAGCTTTGGGGGTCTGTATGCTCTAAGGACCCCACACTGGTCAGCACGGGGGTTCTCGCTGGGCTGCCACCTGGGTGTGGTCATGATGTGCAGGACGAGGTTGCCTTGTAGGTGGGGAGGAAGGTGCTAATGTAGGGACAGGACAGAGAGAGAAAAGCCACAGCCTGATGATCTGGTGCCCCCCATCCTTCCTCCTGCCCGGGGTCATGCATGCCTAGATGCTCTCAGACTCCTGGACCACCCACCCTTTTCCCCTGGCATTGTCCCCATTCCTCCCCAACTTCTTCCAAAAGTATCTATTAGAATTTTTAGATTACAAATATTCTACACACCTGTTTTGGCAAATAGTACAAGAGTTAATAGTCTCGCCCCCACCTGTCCCAAGCACAGCCGCTGAGGTCGCCGAGCCAAGACCAGATGGCCTCCGGTTTGCGCCCGTGCCCTGCCTTACGCTCAGGGAGCTGGGCCTCCAAGCCTGGCTTTCCTCCCCATGGCACTGAGTTGCAGACAGCCCTCCGGACCAGATGGCGCTGTGCCCCCATTCTCGCTTGAGGATCTGCACACCATCTCTGGAATGTTCTGGAACCCGTGCAGCCATTTCCCTTCTGAGAAACACTGTGGTTGTTTCTATAGTAACAACTAGGCTTTAATAAATGAAAATTTGGAGAACATACTTATACTGGTATCCTTACAACTTACAGTTTAAACCAGTCTTTCTGGAAACGCAAGTGGAAGGAAAACCAAACTAAAACAGGTGCAGACCCCAGGCACGCTCCCCACTCCCATGATGACCCCGAGGGGCTTCCAGGGCCATCAGGGCCGCCCCACCCAGCGCAGACATTCTGCTGCTAGTCCTCTGTCCCCAGTTACACCCGAAGGTGGTGGCTTCTGGGACAGCAGGCGTGTGAGGCCTTGGGGAGCCCGACCAGGCCGCCAGGGCCTCAGCGATGTTGGAAGATTGGCCCAGGTGGGTCCACCCTGCCCAAGGGTCTGGATCTTCTCTGACAGCATTGCTGTAGCCTTGGCAGTAAAAGTACATTCCTCTTGTCAGCGACCTCATCCTGCAGTAAGACGGCAATAAGACATGGAGGTTAACCCCCAAGGCACGGGGTGCTTCTTGAAGAAGCAACTGATTTCCCCCAGGTGTTTCCTTTTCTTTCTTTGCTCTCCGTGTGTGATCAGCCGTGAAGTCTGTGCTCCGTGCTGCCACACTCAGAAGGTATTCATGCAGCCA